CACTAACTGCACTAAAACATTAATGTTGTTTACATCTTTTCTCAACTACTTAAACAGTAGTTTCAAGTTTACTGACTGGCCCCACTGATTTCCATTGTAGGTGCCTCAGTGTAACCCTTTTTTTCCCCATTGTTTGTTATTGATTGATTGATTGATTGACTGACTGATTGGTTGAAAGAAATGTAAGAAATACATTTTTGTGTTAATGAACCAGGAAAAGTCCTTCATCTCCTGCTTTGAATAGGGCCTGTATTGTGGCATAAATTTTTTCAAATGATTAAATGCACACTGGAGCCACATGGGACTCTGTTATATATTTGCTGGAAAATGTGTCATGATTACAGTGTTAATGATATAACCATCTGTTTCAGTCCATAAATCGGATCCATGAACTAGACAGTTGCAGGGTGACAAGAGGAGGACAAGACTTCTATAACACGCACCTATGTTAATACAATCAAAATCAGATTATGGTCTTTATCAATCAGAACTTATGGAGGACTGCGGCAGAGAATGGTCAGTACAAATTCCCACATATTCCCACATTGAAAATGGAAACCCCCGTTGTGTCAAAACTAATACTCATCAATATTTACACTACCAGTCAGGAAGTGAGGAAAGATTTTTTTATTTATTTATTTTTTTTAATGTTGTTGAAAAAAAAAAGTTCTTATGCTCACAAGACTACATTTAATTGATAATGCATTAAAACAACAATATTGTGAAATATTATTACAATGTAAAATAACTTTTCTATTTTAATATATAAGTGCAATTTATTCCTTTTTTATTTTGGAAATAGTGATGCACTACCATTCAAATATTTGGGACAAGTGACTTTTTAAAAAAATAAATTAATACTTTTATTTAGCAAGGATGAACTATTATTGATGACCAATAACGAGAACCATTATTAATACTTGAGTACCAAATCAGCAAATTGCAATGATTTCTGAAAGATCATGTGGCAGTAAAAACTGGAATAATGACTGTTGAAAATTTAGCTTTAAGAGGTGTCTTTCAAAAACATTACAAATTTGTGTATATAATTATTCCAAACTTTGACCATATTGTATATTAAACAATATATTGTATTGTAGTGTATATAACAGGCCAGCAACATTAAAGCCTTTATAAGATTGAAAAAAAAAAAATGACCAGCATAGTTGGATTACACAATGAAGAGCCATAAGAAACAGTGACAGCACTCTTGCCACAGCAAATGCAACCCATAAACACAATCAAGCCTAGAAAAAAAAAAACAGTGGACCACCCCTTTCAAAAGTGCAAAGGCAGGAATGAGAATCTTAAAAATTTATGAAAGCTTTTAAATATTTCTTAACATATGTTATTTGAGCTGTAAATTTGTTTAAAACAATATTCAACAGTGTTACAGGATTTACACGGTCACATTGTCATGACAAAAAAGGTGTAAAATTTGATATAACTTTACACAGAAAAGGTCAGAAAGTGATCTTTCTGCACTAAAATCATTTTAACATTAATGTTGTTTACATCTTTTCTCAACTACTTAAACAGTAGTTTCAAGTTTACTGACTGGCCCCACTGATTTCCATTGTAGGTGCCTCAGTGTAACCCTTTTTTTCCCCATTGTTTGTTATTGATTGATTGATTGATTGACTGACTGATTGGTTGAAAGAAATGTAAGAAATACATTTTTGTGTTAATGAACCAGGAAAAGTCCTTCATCTCCTGCTTTGAATAGGGCCTGTATTGTGGCATAAATTTTTTCAAATGATTAAATGCACACTGGAGCCACATGGGACTCTGTTATATATTTGCTGGAAAATGTGTCATGATTACAGTGTTAATGATATAACCATCTGTTTCAGTCCATAAATCGGATCCATGAACTAGACAGTTGCAGGGTGACAAGAGGAGGACAAGACTTCTATAACACGCACCTATGTTAATACAATCAAAATCAGATTATGGTCTTTATCAATCAGAACTTATGGAGGACTGCGGCAGAGAATGGTCAGTACAAATTCCCACATATTCCCACATTGAAAATGGAAACCCCCGTTGTGTCAAAACTAATACTCATCAATATTTACACTACCAGTCAGGAAGTGAGGAAAGATTTTTTTATTTATTTATTTTTTTTAATGTTGTTGAAAAAAAAAAGTTCTTATGCTCACAAGACTACATTTAATTGATAATGCATTAAAACAACAATATTGTGAAATATTATTACAATGTAAAATAACTTTTCTATTTTAATATATAAGTGCAATTTATTCCTTTTTTATTTTGGAAATAGTGATGCACTACCATTCAAATATTTGGGACAAGTGACTTTTTAAAAAAATAAATTAATACTTTTATTTAGCAAGGATGAACTATTATTGATGACCAATAACGAGAACCATTATTAATACTTGAGTACCAAATCAGCAAATTGCAATGATTTCTGAAAGATCATGTGGCAGTAAAAACTGGAATAATGACTGTTGAAAATTTAGCTTTAAGAGGTGTCTTTCAAAAACATTACAAATTTGTGTATATAATTATTCCAAACTTTGACCATATTGTATATTAAACAATATATTGTATTGTAGTGTATATAACAGGCCAGCAACATTAAAGCCTTTATAAGATTGAAAAAAAAAAAATGACCAGCATAGTTGGATTACACAATGAAGAGCCATAAGAAACAGTGACAGCACTCTTGCCACAGCAAACATGGCTCTAATGAATTCAGACTTTGTTCCAGGTAACACTGGTAGATTACAGTAAACTGAGCATGCTAGGGCAAATCAATCCTTCACCAGATACTAGTCTCGGTAACTTCTCACTCAAGACAAAAGTGACGAAATAGTAACTTGAAACTCAACAGCACAGGCCCAAGTGAGAGACTGGACATTAAGTAGCCCAAACCAGAGGGCTTCTGGTGTCAATGATCACTGAATGCATGTAACACCAGACAACAACCAGGTACCGCAGGACTTGTTATGAAAACAACATCATGATAACTACATTGCCTGCAAATGTTACTGCAGAAAATGTGATGGTCATTCTCCATCATGTGACTCTAAATTCAAACAAGCACACTTTTTTGACTTGGCAGTAACTTTTTAAACACAAAAAATTGGTAGGTTATTTACAACTTTTGCTTTCCAGTCCATTTTCCAAAGCAGTGTTTATATGTGAGCAATGTGGATTGTATGGTTGGGCTGTGCGCGAGATGGAACTGAACACGGGAAGTGAAGTTATACCCGGGCTTTTAGTGGTCAGCTGCTGCAGAGCGTGCCAAAATCGAAATTAATTATATCATTTTATTATATAATTTAAATGATATAATTGTTTTCAATGTCATCGTCCATCGCAATGTTTCACGGTAGAAATCGTCTGATGCCAATTTGGTAGACATTGCCCAACCCTAGTGGGTTGTGATGAATAAGTCAGATCTGAACTCCTCTGGAGAGGCTGCCACTGATGCAACTGAACTCAACCAATTCCCTTGTGTCTCATTAAACCACTTAAAGCGAAAATTGGTCTCCTACTATTATGAGAATCATTCAGCAGAGCTGCAAAAGCAGCTGAAAGGCCATCTTCAAAATGGAAATAGCTTTCTAAATACTGCGCAATACATACTGCCTACTATTTTTTTGTACTATTTATTTTAATAGTCAGTGTCCATATGGGACGCAAGTGGGGTACAGTTATAATGTTGTTAATTAAAAAAAAGGCTAGTTTGTATTTGTATTCCTTATTGTTGTTGTTGTTTTTTTAATGTGTGTTAACTCTAGGTAGTCTAGTCAAATATTGAGTGAAGAAAAGATTACATAATCACACTGGAAATGCAAGGTGCATTCGGTCATACAGTTTTGCACCTATTCGTGCTATGCCAAAAAGTGCAGTATACAACAATGTAGCCATCTAGGTATTCATTTCATACAGAAAATATGAATACTGTGCACAGTAAATAGTACTCCATACAAAACATAGCCTTAAAGTGCCTTTGGGTGGATGACAAATACAACCTTATTTACAATGCATAGAAATACAAAGCATGAACTGTATGAATGTATAAATAAAAGTGTATATTTAAAATGATGTAAATGTAAATTTTTTTACATTTAATTCGTAATAATTTAATAATCTTCCAGATCACTTAATCCTATAGTGAGACAAAACTGTTTTTAAAGAAAAACTACCAAAACATTCCATATAGTCCCTCAACAAATATGAGCTCATAAAAACTGTTCAACGATTATCCATAAAAAAAAAGAAAATTGTAGTTATAGACGTCGACGTCACTGCTGTCAACATGTCATGTCAGCTAAACCTTACAGCTGGAAAAGCATGGTAGGCTACTTCGTATTAACTTGAATATAACTCTCACAACTAAGAAAGTTAGAATCCCTAGTTATACAATCAGCATATTAAAGCAGCCGGTTAGCCCTGGGGATAAAGTCTAAGTTGAGGGGAAACTAGTTGGTTTAGTAGCTCTTATCTTGACTCGAGTAAAATGGCTGGACCCATGTGAAAACAAAACAACTTTCTGCCAGCAAAACGTCGGTGTCACACTTACTCTTCTGGACTGAAACCAACGGCATACAAACTTATTTTATAACCCAGATAGATATTGTTCTCGTTACTTCCTCGTTGTCGTTTAAGGTCCCATACGAAATACATTACTTTCGTTTATTCTGAAGGTTAGGGACTTATCTGTCATTAGTTAAAGACCTCGATCAAATTAAAGCCGCGGGATGATATATGCGCGCTCTCAGACTTTATAACAATTATTATTACAATTATTACAATAGTCATTACAATGTTTCAATGTTACTCTTCACACTCACACAGGCTGCAACTATCGCCACTTTCCGATGAAAACCAAAACAACACTTGCGTTTCACTTCAAACATCAAAATATCGCACCTTTCACCAAAACATAAACTACAACATCAAACATATAAACAAATGAATACGGTGGAAAGCGTGTGAAATGACGAAGAGTAGCTAGTGCTTACGGAATTGATGCAATTCTCTTTTTTTCCTTTCCAGCTTCCAGCCAACTTAATTCAGAATGTAATCCAAGAAGAAACTTTTCCCAAAGCTCTCATGTGGATTAGGCGTTTGGTACGATATTTCAGGTCGAAACATTCCTCATTTGGGTGAAAGAAGCATAGTTTTCCTCGATTATATCAATTTTAAAGTTGTAGCGTTTACTCCATCATGGTGGCCATGTTTAAGAGAGACCGAAACACTGCCTGTCACTGTAATGGACAAATAGACCCACTTTAACGTTTAAGACAGTCTTACCGTTTTAAATTGCGCGCAACTCGTACAGAACATCTATAAACCGAACATATGACGTGTGATGTGCTAAAGATAGAAGATATTTCGGTTTAAAACTGCATGGAGATATTTTTAAAAAGTCTCACTGACCCTGCGGAGCGATACATAGGGACATACTCAAGGTAAAAAGTCTTCTCAGTCATCAGCGGTGGACGGTAAAACGCGGAAGTTGACTCTGGAAATTGAGCTGGATTGAGTCCATGTCGCCTATCGGCATACAAAGGCAGCATTACTTAACTCGGACTCTTTCATCATCTTTCAGCAAATATTTTCAGTTCTTACACTACATTTCTTAAATGTCCGAGAATTTAGCATTTTAGAACACCCCAACAAATTACTAAATATTAGTGCATCTAATGTTTTTTTAATACAAAATCAACTTTTTAGTTTCTCTGTGTTAATAGTCTGCATACATTTTTTTTTATTTCCATGACGCAACCACTATTACACTATACGTGTATACACTATTCTGAATACATGAAAGTAAATAAAAGCATACAACAACAATAAAGTAGTCACACTAAAATATCTTTATATTGAAGAATATTATGGACGTAAATCGTAAAAAAAATAAATAAAAAAAAGACACAAAACATTTACATGATTTTGGATGATGTAAACCAAGCAGTAATTATCACAAGCTCACCAATTTCCTATTCAGTTCATTTTATTCATGCTTTACTTATAATTAAAGAATATTCCTACCAGCAATGTAGACAAATTCAACAAATTAATGCACAAGATTCCACCTCAGTTATTTACAACTTTCATTGATAATAGAAAATAAACCAAAGATAAAGGAATAAAACACATAAAAGCAGTGTTTCATAAGTACATTGGTAATACTGTTTTCCTTTTTCCTAAAAAAAAGAGGTTCATTAAAGGTCAAGGATTCTAGGGAAGATGTCCAAAGCAGTCCAGGTGCAAGAGGAAATGAGCTTCTTGGCCTGAAAGAAGCACCACCTGTAAAATATTATTGTAATTTTAACAGTAAAAGACTGTTAAAGTACTATAGTAACAACCTGTTAACTGTTTAATACGTTTTCTTAGTATAAACCAGTGGTTCTCAACCTTTTTTTGGGGCCCCCTGCATTATCCAGGTCCCTTATCGTCCCCAATCAAATCAAATGTATTCTAATCGTCTTCACTGAATATTAAAGTTGATTATTATTTTGTGGACTATTATTGCATTTACAGTACCATTTAAATGTTTGGGGTCATTAGTATTTTAAGAAATTACATGCTTTAGTTCAAATATCCATTAAATTGATCAAAAAGACATTCAAGTACTTTTTTTACATTACATTTTTTGACAATAAGTGTAAGAACATTAATTTACGGATCATCACTCTGCTTCGACACGTTTCCTCTTTACCACTCACTGAATGATCCATGCTGTGTGTGAGAGCTTGTGCATGGGACTGGATACAAAAGGGTGTCCTCAGTGTTTAACAACAAAATGTATTATTTTCAATAACAAACACTTCAGGGATTTTTATGGGCTAACTTTTCAATACATAATCTTTATAGATTACCATTTTCTGCCTCTAATATGCAAATTCTGAAAGTAAAAATAACAAAAATAAATAAATAAATAAACATGATAACTAAACTATACATGTAGATTTTTCAAGATCGAGATTATTAAGAATAATAACAAATACAATGATCGCTTATTAGATTTGGGCTATACAATCTACAAAATATATTTTTTATTCTACACTGAATAATGATGACATTAAGGGTTGATGATTAAAATAATCAAACATATGGAATATTGCTAAATATGGGAAGGGTTAGGGCTATTAACTACACTTAGTCAATTTAATTAAGTAAGCAAAAAACAAACAAAAAAACTGCAAGAAAAAATAACAGCAATTAGGACCTTTGCTTTTGCACAGTATTAAACACATTACAGAAATATAGTCAATTCAGTCTGTGCTAAGTAAATCTACACGCGCACACACACACATACACACACACACATGTGCACATCTATTTGGTATGACAAAATTCTCTATTTATATCAGTTTAAGCCACTTTAAGGTATAAAGTTCCCCCCTCCCCCCAGATGTTCCTGTGTAAAAACAACCCATTTTGTGGCCTAATTATTCTTTTTTGTCAGCTGATGAAGTGCTAAAGCTAAATGCAAATTGTGTAGTATTCACTGAGTTCACAGAGAAAAGCACCCCACTGGTTAATGAGAGGATGTACAGGGCTTCAGTTTGATGAGACACTTGTTTTATAATTGGTGTGAAAGTATTATGTGGGTGGTGTGTTTAATACGTTTTCTTAGTATAAACCAGTGGTTCTCAACCTTTTTTTGGGGCCCCCTGCATTATCCAGGTCCCTTATCGTCCCCAATCAAATCAAATGTATTCTAATCGTCTTCACTGAATATTAAAGTTGATTATTATTTTGTGGACTATTATTGCATTTACAGTACCATTTAAATGTTTGGGGTCATTAGTATTTTAAGAAATTACATGCTTTAGTTCAAATATCCATTAAATTGATCAAAAAGACATTCAAGTACTTTTTTTACATTACATTTTTTGACAATAAGTGTAAGAACATTAATTTACGGAGTTTTTAAGTTGGTGATTTTCAGTGCTTTGGCAATGTTGAGGTTTCTTTGACACTGTCTGACACTGACCTGTTGCCCCAAAGGTTAAAGAGACTTTAAAAATTCCTGTTTACAATATATTCACAAGAGAATTTATACAGAAGAGATTTCCGCTTCTTCTACCTTTCCTGGAGCTTTTGAACACCCTTTTTACTGCTGTGATTTACCTCTAAATTTTGAGTTGTTTTCAATTAGATTTCAGTGAAAAATAATAATATTTATCCGTATAGAAAATACCGTTTTTAAAACATTGAATTCACTGTTTTCGGACTCTACATGGTGATTTTGGTGGGTAAATATCACATGACACATGACATGTAAATGGAAGAAATGTAAACCCTCCTTTACTATGTTTCTCAGATTTTGCGAAAATATGTCAAAGTTTGCTTTAAAATACTTCAAAGAAAACTAAGTAGAAAGATGGGAAACATATGCTCCTCATCAAAATAGTTACTATTTTTGTTACGGAGTGAGCGACAGAGGCATGCGGATCCATTGGTTTTATTATCAAAAAACGTGGTCACAACATGGGTCGATAACAGCAAACATTACAGAGTGGAAAGACAAAAGAGTAATCCAGAGACAGGCATTGGTCAATCAGTGGCAAACGTAATCCAAAGAGTGAGACAAAGGAGTAATCCAACAAACATGTAGAGTCCAGGTGGGGAGCAAACAGAGTCAGAGAAGGCAAGACAATGGGTAATCCAAGGCAGGCTGAGGTCCGGGGCAGGCGGAGAACAAACAATGCGAGAATAACAGGCAAGAATCTAAACACAGCTACTCGGGCAAAGACGAGACTAGACTATGGCTAGGAAAAACAGGTTAACTTGAAATGGCTTGTTACGGAGTGAGCGACAGAGGCATGCGGATCCATATGCAAGGTTTTATTATCAAAAAACGTGGTCACAACATTGGTCGATAACAGCAAACATTACAGAGTGGAAAGACAAAAGAGTAATCCAGAGACAGGCATTGGTCAATCAGTGGCAAACGTAATCCAAAGAGTGAGACAAAGGAGTAATCCAACAAACATGTAGAGTCCAGGTGGGGAGCAAACAGAGTCAGAGAAGGCAAGACAATGGGTAATCCAAGGCAGGCTGAGGTCCGGGGCAGGCGGAGAACAAACAATGCGAGAATAACAGGCAAGAATCTAAACACAGCTACTCGGGCAAAGACGAGACTAGACTATGGCTAGGAAAAACAGGTTAACTTGAAATGGCTCCGTAATGTAGCTATCATTAAGCAGAGATAAACGCTAACAATACTCTGTGATAGGTTAGAGGAAGTGTTCAGATTATAAAGGGTTTCTAATGGGAAACAGGTGTGGGTGTGTGATTAATTCTGGGTGAAGTGTATTGTGGGAAATGGAGTCCAGGGTAAAATGTGACAGTTTGTGCAGTGCGAAAGTCCATGTAGTGTGTGGCGACCTCTGGTGGTGAGTGGGCGGAATGGCAAGGCACGGATACGTAACAGGAAGCCGGGACAGAGCCGGTAGAGCAGGAAGCCATGGCTGAGCAGGCGAAGCAGGGTGCCAGGGCGGAGTCGGTGGAGCAGGGTGCCAGGGCGTAGCTGGCAGAACGAGAAACCAGGGCAGAGCAAAAGACCACCAGGGAAGAGCAGGCAGAGCATCAGGAAACAGGGAGAGTTCAAAGATAGTGCCCGTGGTCGGAACAGAGGTGACAGGGAACACAGAGAGCTCGGGGAAGAGTGCCACTGCTGTCTGGGGAGGAGCTGAAGCGAACCTCACCGCCATAGGAGGTTCTGCAACGGAAGTTGCCACCTCGAGGGGAACTGGAGCGGACTCTGTGACTGGAGCAAGCTCGGGAGTGGATTTGGGGACTGGAGCAGACTCGTGAGCGGACTCAGGGACTGGAGCGGGCTCGTGAGCGGACTCAAGGACTGTAGCGGGCTCGTGGGCAGACTCAGGGACTGATGTGAACTCTGGAAACACAGCAACGGGCACTGCTACCTCGGGAGGTTTTGCAGCGTAAGCCGCCACCTCTGGAGATACTGCAGAGCCGCTCGTACTGACACCAGTGGTGTATCCTCCATGCTGGATGCCAACCTCTGATGTCTAGTGACAGACAGGATTGAGGAGGGTTGCGGTAACCCAACCGTGACAGGACGTGGCTCTGGTATGGCAGACGAGATGTGACGAGGCTCTGGAGGATCAGCAGAGACATGGCGATGCTCTGAAAGATCAGATGAGACATGACAAGGCTCTGGAAGATCAGCAGAGACATGACGAACCTCTGGAGGGTCTGCTGTGACTTGATTTGACTCAGGAAGATCAGCTGTGACTTGACTTGAAT